AGGTCCCACCTTTGGGAATCGGCGGGCCCTGCCACATGTTCCCAGGATTTCTGCGCTTGGATTGCTTCTGAGCAGCAGTCCCTTGCGTTTGCGTTCTGGGCCAGCCGCCTTTGCCCCGGTGAGGAACAGAGGCCGGGTACCTCTCACCCTGTAAGCCAGCTGAATCCATGTCGAGCATTTGCGTGGCCTGACTTGGAATATGAAGGGAAGGCCGGCTTGGCGGTTGCATGTGTCTTGCCATCTCAAACTCTTGGGCATTGCAATGCGTTGCGGAGGTGTTGTGCTGGCATGGCAGATCGTGGCTTGTCCACAGATGCCCCATTGTTTCGTGCCATCTGGGCGATTCGCTTGGCTCGCAGCAGGCTGCTTGCTGGCAAGCCGGATGGGCTTCGGGCAGCCCGGAAGCCAGAAGCTGACTCCGCGCAGGAGTCCTTGATGGCTGCAGCTTATAAGCATGACAACGCACATGATTTGACCCGATGTCGTGGCTGGTTGGACATTGGACCATTCTTGGTCCTATGCGGCCTATACGTCACTTGTCTGGAAAGAGCCAAAGAGCTGGGGCACAGACATTCAGCAGTCCAGCGAGCCCAAAGCGAGAAAACAGATGCTTTAGATGGTCCCTCTCATGTTTTTCAGGGAGAAGCTATCGCTGCCTTGCGCTCGTAAACGGGGACCTATAACCGCTGAAGGCCACTGCGTCAACTGGTTTCCTTGGCCACTTGGTCCACTTGCTCCGCAAGCAAGTGGACCAAGTAGACCGAGTGCTTCCAAACAGACGGTCTTGGATAGTCCCAAGCGACACGCAACTGGATGGAGCAACCGTCCATGAAGACAACTGGACAACAGAAGGAAGTAAGAGAACCAACAAGGAATGGACAGGTTCAACCAACTTCGAAGAGAAAGCATAATACAAAGACCAACTCGACAGCGATGAGGAACAACAGGAAGCACGACAAGCCAAAGGAGTCAAAGCGCCAGAGCAACCAACACCACAGCAAAGCGCAAAGCAGCGAATACAATCTCACGCATCTTCCATACCGCAATGGTGTCCCATACGCCGACGTGGAGCCAACAACCACCCACAGAAGAGCAAGCGACCCATAGCCCCAGTGGACTTCGCATTCAACGACATAGTCACGACACCAGTGCTCACATCAATTGACATCAAGCCTGGCAGGATCAGCGCAACACAGTTCGACTGCGCCGTGTGCAGTCCGACCAGACTGCTCGCAGTCACAAGGTTCAGTAGAGCTGGCGCACGGAACACTTTTCAGACAGATCCGAACACTTAAGTCACAAGTTCAGCAAAACTAGAACCAAACAATCAACATGGACCATCCGCTGGTGCTTTGGATTGTGTGCCACAACGCTTTTCTGCTCAACAGGCGCGCAACCCACAGCAATGACAACACAAGCTACTTCAACAGGTGGGGAAGAGAAAACCACAACAATCTGTGAGTTTGCGGAAACGGTCCAGTCCATGGTGTCAACGACCAAGCAACTCCCAAAACTGGAAAACGGGTTCTTCGACGGAATCTGGCTCGGCAAGGACGAATCACTCGTCGGCGTCTACGGCAGGGTCGTCCGAGCAAGGACGATCCGTCGACAGATCGAGCCACAAAAGCAAAACAGGCAACTTCTCGACGTCGTCAACGCACCACCGTGGACAACTCCGACCTCGGCTTCGCCGCAACTCACGACGACAAGAACAACGGTGATCCACGTTCGAGCACCACGAGCACAGTCAACGGCAACGGCGACACAAACCCGAGGCAACAAACGGTTGACAACTCAAGCAGGCGGCGAATCACCAACAAAGACACCACGCACAGGCGAGCAAGCAACAGCATCAGCGGCAGAGCCATCCCCTCCAATGGCAACATCGTCACCAACAGTTCGACGGACACCTCTACCACCACCGCCGACGTCAACAGGAACACACAACGACGACGAAGTTCACGAAGGAAGCACAGGCAAGCAACAGCGGACAACGGAGCAGCAGCGCTCCATCGAACGACAAGCAGAACCAGAACCCTGAACAACAAGCTTGAGGATCAACACAGTAAGGATCACGACCAAGTCCGGATCAACAATCCAGACCGCATCCTGCTTAGACCAACTGGATGTTGCCAACGAGAAGATCCCTCTGGAGCCAGGTGTCACCAACACCGAAGGTCTGGATCCACAAAAGGTTATAGACGGAATGAAAAAGGAGGTCAAACAGATGAAGCAACAAGCTGCGCACAACGAACTCGATGGAACACAGCTCACACCTGAGCAGCAGCGCAACATCGTTGAATCCCGATGGGTTCTTCGACCCAAGGACGATGAAGTCTGTGCAAGGATCGTCAAACGCCGCCAGGTTTCCAAGCATTCAAGTCGGGTGGGTTTCATCCCATCCCAGCTGGTGACTGGTGCGAAGTGGTTTTTGTCCACTAGATGTTGCTTGGATCGGGACAAATCTTTGTCATGTTGGCACCTTGCGCAATTTCAACACAATGTGCGCCAAAAGCAGATTTGTGGTTGATTCCCATCTAGCTATGACTGCAGACGTATCACATGGCAACCCAAACCAGGCGTCCATGCTTGGATCTCAAGATAAACTGCCGATGGTTGCGCATTTCGCACCACCGTTCAGAAACCTGGAATGATTTGCTTCCCCTGCAAATAAACGAAAACGCGACGGTTTCAACCATAGTTTCTTGGGTGGTGCGAAATGGATTTCGCCCACCCACAGTCTGGGGTTGACTTGTTGGCAGCCCAGCAGCTGCACCCACAGTATGGGCTTATCCGAGCCTTGAATCTTCATGAACAGACAAGACCTCAAGTCAAAGCAACGCTGCTTAGCAGGGCTGCAAGTTCTTAAGTAGTTGCAGAGCTCAACTTGGGGCCCGGGAGGAATGATCCTTTTGTGAATTGGCAGTTAGGAGTCGACTTGAACCCACGCCCTCTCACCAGAGCGTGTGAAAACATTGGCCCTTGCAAGTGTATGTCATTTTGCTTACCTCGACCAACACAGATTTTCCCATCTTCTAGCAGGAAGCTGGAGAGACAAGCGATGCAAATGCGGCCCCTTCAAGCCTTGGTTTGATTGGTTGGTTGGTTTGGTTTGATTGGTTGGTTCGTTTGGTTTGATTGGTTGGCTGGTTTGGTTTGATTGGTTGGCTGGTTTGGTTTGATTGGTTGGTTGGTTTGGTTTGATCGGTTGGCTGGTTTGGTTTGATTGGTTGGTTGGATTGGTTTGATCGGTTGGCTGGTTTGGTTTGATTGGTTGGTTGGTTTGGTTTGATCGGTTGGCTGGTTTGGTTTGATCGGTTGGCTGGTTTGGTTTGATCGGTTGGCTGGTTTGGTTTGATTGGTTGGTTGGGTTGATTGGTTGGTTGGTTTGGTTTGGTTGGTTGGTTGGATTGGTTTGATCGGTTGGCTGGTTTGGTTTGATTGGTTGGTTGGTTTGGTTTGATTGGTTGGTTGGATTGGTTTGATTGGTTGGCTGGTTTGGTTTGATTGGTTTGGTTTGATTGGTTGGCTGGTTTGGTTTGATTGGTTGGTTGGTTTGGTTTGATTGGTTGGCTGGTTTGGTTTGATTGGTTGGTTGGTTTGGTTTGATTGGTTGGCTGGTTTGGTTTGATCGGTTGGCTGGTTTGGTTTGATTGGTTGGTTGGATTGATTGGTTGGTTGGTTTGGTTTGATTGGTTGGTTGGTTTGGTTTGATCGGTTGGCTGGTTTGGTTTGATTGGTTGGTTGGATTGGTTTGATTGGTTGGTTGGTTTGGTTTGGTTGGTTGGCTGGTTTGGTTTGATTGATTGGTTGGTTTGGTTTGGTTTGATTGGTTGGCTGGTTTGGTTTGATTGGTTGGTTGGTTTGGTTTGATTGGTTGGTTGGTTTGGTTTGATTGGTTGGTTGGATTGGTTTGATTGGTTGGTTGGTTTGGTTTGATTGGTTGGTTGGATTGGTTTGATTGGTTGGCTGGTTTGGTTTGATTGGTTTGGTTTGATTGGTTGGCTGGTTTGGTTTGATTGGTTGGTTGGTTTGGTTTGATTGGTTGGCTGGTTTGGTTTGATTGGTTGGTTGATTGGTTTGGTTTGATTGGTTGGCTGGTTTGGTTTGATTGGTTGGTTGGTTTGGTTTGATTGGTTGGCTGGTTTGGTTTGATTGGTTGGTTTGTTTGGTTTGGTTTGGTTGGTTGGCTGGTTTGGTTTAATTTGGTTGGTTGGTTTGGTTTGATTGGTTGGCTGGTTTGGTTTGTTTGGTTGGTTGGATTGGTTCGATTGGTTTGATTGGTTGGTTGGATTGGTTTGATTCGTTGGCTGGTTTGGTTTGATTGGTTTGGTTTGATTGGTTGGCTGTTGGTTGGTTGGTTGGTTGGTTGGTTGGTTGGTTGGTTGGTTGGTTGGTTGGTTGGTTGGCTGGTTGGCTGGTTGGCTGGTTTGGTTTGATTGGTTGGCTGGATGTATCTTTTGCGACCATTTGAGACAACTTGCTTTTTCAACACCAAGATTTTAGGGAAACCTTGCCATTTACAAGTTGCAATGTTCAGGCGAATGTAAGGATCAGTCGTTGGTCATTTGGCTAAGGACACCATAGTTGCTTTCGGCTCAGAGGAAAGCAAGAGCACAAGAGCATCATAGCTCAGCTACTACTCATTCTTTGCGAACGCAGGCCAATGACGGTGGCAGCGCCCATGTCTCGGAGCAGCGATGGAAAGTCGTGACACGCCGAACACAAGCCTGTATGCCACCCACACAGTTGAGTCTGGCGGCTGACATTTTGGCTACGAGATGCGGCTGCCCGAGGCATTTCATGGAGCCTTGTTCCATGGAGCCCCAACTCCAGGAATTGGGCATCTGAAGAGTTGCTGCGGCCTTTGCCACGCAGAGGTGTGAGCATTCTGCTGAGAGGTGTGCCAGAGCTTGGCCATAGCTTGATGGCGCAGCAAGCACTAGCAGCCACGAGCACCGCCAGCCCTTTGGCGGGGTGCCCTGCTGAAGCTGTAATTGACACGCCTCTCCTGCAGCGACCGAGGGCTGGCTCGGGCATGACAGTTTGAATGGGCCCCACGGTGCCCTATTGCGACCCATCACGATCCATCAAAGTACTTGATTCGCGCAGAGCCAAAGAATGCACAAGTCTTTGTGCCTGTAGACTCTTGCTCAAACATAGCAAGCGGTGCCCGCGGAGCTTGCTGAAGCTTCAAAGGCGGTAGGCCAGTTCCCACACAGCAGTGGCACAGTGAGCAACGTTTCGTGGGCCTTGCATGTCCCAGGCCCGGATTGGGTTTGTGCAGCTGCCGTGGTGATAGGCAGTCGGCCTTCGCAGAAACGAAATGCTTACATGCTGCGCTTTGTGAAGGATTCACTCCAGTCGGCTTGACGTGCTTGCAGGAGGCGGCGGGCGTGATGGAGATGTTGCCGCGCCAGCAACTTCGCTTTCCGACATCATAGCTTGAGCTGTCCACAGTGAGAGAGGGAGAGAGAAAGACATAGAACTTCATCATTGCTCGAGCGGCTGGCATGTCTAGCACATGTCACAGAGGTTCATGCCTAGTTTCTGTGCAGCAGGCTCGCCAATTTTTCCTCTAGTCCTCGGAGTGATGCGCGCGGCAAAAACGGGACAAGACATGCCACAAGTCCTTGCGCCTCGATGTCTATCTGTGCTAGAGGGACGCGCGCGCCGGCAATGATGCCACCTCATGCAGAAGTAAGCATGTCAGCGCATTGCCTGAAGAGTTGCTGCGGCCTTTGCCACGCAGAGGTGTGAGCATTCTGCTGAGAGGTGTGCCAGAGCTTGGCCACAGCTTGATGGCGCAGCAAGCACTAGCAGCCACGAGCACCGCCAGCCCTTTGGCGGGGTGCCCTGCTGAAGCTGTAATTGACACGCCTCTCCTGCAGCGACCGAGGGCTGGCTCGGGCATGACAGTTTGAATGGGCCCCACGGTGCCCTATTGCGACCCATCACGATCCATCAAAGTACTTGATTCGCGCAGAGCCAAAGAATGCAAAAGTCTTTGTGTGTAGACTCTTGCTCAAACATAGCAAGCGGTGTGCGCAGAGCTTGCTGAAGTGGAAAAGAGCCCGCCTGGAAGGCCCCTTCGAAGGAGTTGCACATGTTGGGGCAGAGGATGTTTCCCACGCAGCAGCATAGTGAGCAACGAAATGAAGGACATTTACCCGGGTCAGCCCGAGCTGACATGCTCCCGGTTTGGCCTTTACTCTAGGCCCCTAGGTTTGGCAATGCGGATCAAGTTCAGTGCGCGCAGCTCGCAACAGGCAATGTGCTTCGCGGTAAGCTGCTTTCCCGGCGGCTTCCAGAGGATTCAATTTGTTTTCTTTTGATCAAGCTTGGGAAGCAGAATCCTTGACTCTTGGCAGTCACCGCCTGCTCAGCTTTGCAGCTGACCCCGAGCCACAAGCGGACTTCGCAAGTTTGAGTGGCCCCAAGCAGAAGTCTTTCAATGAGGATGCAAGTTTTGCAGCTCAAGCTGTCTCATAGCCGTTGCCACTTGTGTGAAAGGACTTGGAGACAGATGGCTCTCCAGCAGCGCTGCCGATGGCCCCTCCAAAGAAAGAGCCAGAGCTGACATGTCTCAAACACCATCCACGTGCCAGCCAGGTGCTTGAGTTTGCCATGGTGAACTCAGCTCCGTTCAGACAGCAATCTGAAACCTGCTGGAAAGCCCCGGTCTTTGGAAATTGGCAGTCAAGCAGTAGTGCCCCAAGCCTTTCAAGGGCATGTGCTGCAAAAAGGGCATGAAACGACAACGTTCATCTGCGTTCCTCGCACGCAGCAACCATAACATATAAACACAAGGGTGGGATTTTTGTTTGATGCCCTTTGACGCGGTGCGCTGCGGCAAGCGTGTGAGGTTAATGCATTTGTGAGCGGGCCTAGTCGCCTTGAGCATTTTGGGCAGATTGCGGCAACCTATGTCGCAATCAACATGCCCTTTCTTTGATACCGTTGAGCTGCCCTCTTCAGTCTCTGCATTCAGAGCTTCATTTCGTGGCAAACGACAAACTTTGCTGAGCAGGAACCCGCTCACTGCTCCTTACCTGGTCAGGCCCCTGGAATGCTGCAAATAGAAGCGCCAGCTTTGACCTATGACTGCAGATGAGAAGCTCTTGCAGGTCCGCAACTGGAAATTTACTGTAGAAGCCCATTCTGGCAGAGACTTGCCTGCTCTTGTTTCAACTGGGAGGGAACTATGGTTCAGCTGCAACATTCTTCTTTTCCGCAAGGCAGCGTCTAACCATAGGAGCCTAAGCACGCTTTGCAAAAAGCTGAGATTTCGTGGCAAAGAAGAGCAGTGCATTGTGCATGGACGGAGAAACAAGCTCCGCAGCCGATCTGCAAACCCGGCGTTGGCGCTGTTCTTTTCTTGCATTGCTTCAGACAATGCCCTTGTCGGGCTTGCCGCCAGAAAATTGCTGAGCAGTTTGCCACGTCAAATTTTGACGTCCCGCCAGCGGCCTGCCAACCTCAGTGGCAGGGTGGGAGCCTTCATTGCAATGAAGGCCTGTGGGAACAGGTTGCTGGGTGTTCTGCAAAGCCGGAAGATGCTTGGGTGGAGATTGGGCGCAAGTCAGTCAACCTGCAAGGCGCACACTTAGAGGGGAAAACCCCGTAGGCCCCGACCGTGCTGAATGCCTTGGCAGGTTGTTTCCGGTTTGGCGCTGGCTTTTCAACATTTATCGCCGCGCAGGCTTGCCTTTTGTATCTTGCCGCCGCGCTTTTCGACCCTTTGCGGCCTCAAAAGCTTTGGTTTCCATTGCCAGCTTTGAGGGGCTGGCCATGTTCTCCGGCATGTGACCCTGTGACGTGCAAAGAGTCGTGCGTGTTCTTCGTCACGGTAAGTTAACATTTGTCGCAGATTTCGGGTGTTTGTGCCGCCAAAACGGGACCTTCAGGCATTGAACGGCAACGTTCGTCTGCCTTCAGTCACACGCAGCAGCCATATAGGATAGATTCCTTCCTAAAGACGACAGTGCAGCATCCTTTCTGTACTGCAGTCAGGGTTTGTGACAACAACGTTGACGGCAAAACCAAACGCATGCCACCCAGGTCACCCAGGTGCTTGAGCTTGCCATGCTGAAATCAGCTCCATGCAGACCGCAATCTGAAACCTATGGGAAAGCCCCGGCAGCAACCCGCCCGTCAAGCAGGGCTGCATGAAACGACAACGTTCATCGTTCCTGACACGCAGTCAGTGCCTCGGCCAGCTCTTGCTGAAACGCGTGTGCCGGGCATGCGCAAATTTCTGCATCTCGGACGCAATTCCAAAAAGTGTGCAAAGCCAAAGCTCCGCCCTACAATCTGTGCGTGTGCATGTGTTTGCATTTACCATTTCTCGCGCACTTATGAGCAAACATTTGTGTGTCAATGGGTCTGCAGGCTTTGTAGCAAAAGCGCTTCTTGGTCCACAGAGGGCCAGCCACACCAACCTAATTGCACACGAAATCCAACGCATTTGAGCGGCTCAATGTGAAAATGAACGAGTTAAGGCCAAATGCAGTAAAGATTTGGTGTTGTACCCAATTTACTCGCAGGTTTTGCCGTGACTTCATTTGACTGTGGGCGCAGGAACGGGTTCGCCCAGGATGCTCCATCCAGTGTTTCAGTGGGCAGCGCAAATAGCTGGTTTTCCGCACCTCAAACAGCATGGAAGTTTGCCCAAGGGGCGAATTGTTTCAGACTCAGATAGCATCCGCGGCCAAAGCTGGCTGTGCTGAACCACTTTCAGTTCCAAGGCAGACATGGGGCACCCTGTCTGAAAGCCCAAAGCAACATGTGCAGAGCATCTTAGAAGATAGCAGGCTGGGCGCATCCCATCGTGGACGGCCTGAAGGGGGGTGAGAATTCAACAGGCCCCCTGCATGCTTGAGGCATCGTTTCCCCCAACGGCACACTCACCCCGCTGGGAGAGCTCTACAACTCCTTCGCTGCGCAGAAGAACCTGTCGGAGGTGAACATTACCGTGCCCACCTCGACCACGAAAACGAGCACGACCTCGAGCACCACCAATTCCAGCACCAGGCGCAAGTGCAAAGCCGTTGATCTTGACCAGAATCTCCTTCGGAGCAACTATAACCAAGGGAACCCGTCCCGCCAAACAGTGGCTGCCTGCCCAAACATAAATGTCCCAGAGCATGATGAAGCACTGTGCGCTGTAAGCCAATCTAGTCCTCCCTCAAGATTTGCTTTCAGATGTCCGGAGCTGAGGCATGAAATTCCAAAGGAGAGAATGCGTTGCTTGATGATGGAGATTGACCGACTCGGCTTTAGCGGCGAGCGCCAGCTCGTTGAGATCCTGACGCCAGCGCGAGCTTGAAGCTGCGTGTTGCAAGCAGCAAGTGCACCATGTCCCCAGACGAGGGAAGGTTACAAGGCGCGTACATCTATGAGCAACCAAAAACGATGTCCCCTTTGAAGCGACCA